ATATAATATATAATATATAATATATAATATATAATATATAATATATAATATATAATATATAATATATAATATACAATATAATAGATAATAGATAATAGATAATATAATATAATAGATAATAGATAATATAATAGATAATAGATAATATAATATACTATATACTATATACTATATACTATATAATATATAATATATAATATATAATAATATATATTATCTTATATATATTAAGATATATATATATTTTAAATATATCTTTATTGATTTCAGAGAGAGGAAAGGAGAGGGAGAGAGAGGGATAGAAACATCAATGATGAGACAGTCATTGATCGAGCCCGCAACCCGGGCATGTGCCCTGACCAGGAATCGAACCCTGATCGCCTGGATCCCAGGTCGATGTTCAACGGCTGAGCCACGCCCGGCCAGGCTATATATATTTTTAAATATGTTTTTATTGATTTTAGAGAGAGAGGGAGAGAAAGAGAGACACATTGATGAGAGAGAAATATCATCCGTCGGCCGCCTCCTGCAGGCCCCCGACTGGAGATGGAGCCCGCAACCCGGGCCTGTGCCCCAACCGGGCCTCGAACCCTGACCTCCTGGTTCCTAGGTCGACGCCCAGCCGCTGAGCCACCGCGGCCGGGCCATAGATATTGTAATGCATGTACATAGAGCTTTTATCTTTATATAACTCTCAGTAAGTGTAGAGATTCTAAAAGCAGACGGGATTTGTTTTGAACACAGGGCCGGCCTACAAAGCAACATGGAAACCCCAGGTGCCCTGGACGTGCCTTCACAATGCCACCGGTAAATTTACAGATAAATAAGCTTTTTACCCAGCAATTGCATCCCTAAAAATAGATCCTAAGGCAACCCGGGCGGATGTGTGTGCAAAGCTGGAACGGCCTGTTCTTCCGAGTCCGGCTCGTTAACCGTGGAGAGGCCGCCAGAAGCTCAGGGCCGCGCACAGGGAATTATTAAAATAAAAGGGGCTTGGGCGGCAACGCGGGGTTTCCTGAGGCAGTTGCAGGGTAGCTAATGAGGGACAGGGGACCCAAGGTGCTCTCCACGAATTAATGAGTAAAATTAAAACTAATGGATAAATATAAATAGAGCAATAGGTACCTACAGACACAGACAAAGATGCAGACATAGACATAGTTAAAAGGGTGTATAGCCAGCAGGTAACAGGGGTGTTCTTACAAGTAATTTAACTTTTCTTTTTTGCACATTTCTGTATGTATCAAACATATTATTGAACAAAAAAAAAAAAAAACACCAAAAAAACCCAAGTGGTTAGAGCATTGGCCTGTGGACTGAAGGGTCCCACGTGCGATTCCTGCCAAGGACACATATCTCGGCGGCAGAGTCCATCCCGGGCCCTGGGAGGGTGTGTGCAGGAGGCAACCAATAGACGTGTCTCTCTGCCGTGGATGTCTCTGTCTGTCTGTCTGTCTCTCTCCCTCCCTCCCTTGCTGGGATGTGATAAAAGTGTCCCTTACCACCGTCTTTGTTTCTTCCAAACACCTACAGCCCCGGTCTAAACAGGAGAGAAGCATCGGACAAATCCCAGCTGAGGAACGTTCTACCCAATCCCCGAGCAGCCCTTTTCCAAACTCTGCAGGTGACGGGAAACCAAGAGAGCCTGAGACGCTTTCACAGCCGAGATGACGTGAGGATCGGCTGTTCTGCGGGGCCCTGGATGGGTTCCGGGGACAGGAAACGGACGTGCCCATCTGTAGACGAGCGGATAAAAAAAGCTGTGGTACATCTACGCCGTGGAATAGTATGCAGCGGTGAAAAAGCAGGATCTCGTACTTTTGGGGACGGCGTGGAGGGACCTGGAGGGTGAGATGCTGAGTGAAATAACCAGGTGGAGAAAGACAAGTGCCCCGTGATCTCGCTCATAGGTGGAGTCTAATGAACAAAATAAACTGATGAATGAAATAGATCCAGAGACATGGAAGCATGGAGCAGACGGAGGGAGCTCAGAGGGAAGGGAGGTGGGCTGGGGATTAACTTAGATGCATCTATGCATGAGCCATGGACACCGACAATAGTGTGGGGAAGGCCTGGGGTGGGGGGGATCCACGCTGGGGGGAAAAGTGGGGAACACCTGTAATACTTCCAACAATAAAGACATATTTAAAAAAGAAATAAAACGGATGTCAGGTAAAGACTAAGGGACGATCAGCCCACCGATTGCCGTGAACCTGCCATACCTGTGGGTCTTGAGATGCATTCTGTGCAGGGGAAGTTTCTCCCTGGTCCCCTCCATTTCTGGGGCTCCCCCCTCCCCAGGCTCTAACATTAGCCACCGGAAGGAAAGAGTGGGGTGTACCTGCTGTATCTCACAGGGGTCCTTTCCTGCAGCCTACCCCAGGGCAGGGGAGCTGGGACCCGGCCTCTGCGCACCTGTCAGGAGAACAGGAGGCTGGGAGGTGGAGCTCACCTGGCGCAAGCCCCGCCCACAGTGACATCACAGACCTGCGGCTGCAGGTGCCCTGCCGTCGGGGGTTTCCAGGAGGCCTTGGTTCGCCCGCCGTCCAGTGTGAGCGGGGGCCCCACGAGGATGGACCGAAACTCCTACCCCTACGTAGTCGCAGCCTCTATGCTTAGGGACAGGCCCTCCCGCAGCGTCCAGGGCCGGCCCCTGTGCAGCTCAGGGACGTAGGCACCTGGCCGCTGAGCTGGAAAAACCGACCACATCGCAGGAAACGATGCCCCCTGCAGAGGAGGCCACGGCTCCACCCAAACCAGGGGAACCAGCGGGTCCGAGACACCCTGCGTCCCCTACGCGGTGGTTTCTGGTCGTCTAACGTTTCCCTTTTAAGGACACGCTTCCGCTTTTTCTCTTAAAATAAAAAGTGTTTTTTTTCCTTTTGTTCGTAGCCAGAGGGCTGATCATTTCTCCGCATGTATTTAGTGGCAAGTCGCCTTAGACTTCTGAATTAAAAATAACAGGAATGTTTTCATCTCAGCGGTGTCAGGATGACCCACGGTAAAAAAAAATTGAGCGAAGCCAAGGAGGCACATGACAAAGGCAGGCCCGCTGTCTCCGGGGTTCCTGCAGCATTTAACGGCCAGGATCCCCCCACGTGAGATGTAATTAAACCCAGCTCTGGACCGTTGGGCCCGGAGGTGAGAGCGTCGGCCTGCAGACCGAAGGGTCTCGGGTTCGATTCCTGGTCAAGGGCACGCAGGCTCGATCCCCGGCCCGGGTTGGGGTGCCTGTGGGAAGCAGCGACCCATCGATGTGTCGCTCTCACATCCACGTTTCTCTCTCTCCCCCCCTCCCTGCCTCCCGCTCGCTCCGAAAAGCAATGGAAAAAACATCCCTGGGTGAGAATTAACCAACAAACAAAAAGTGGCAGCCGCGGCAAAGTCACTGGGAAATGAAAACAGTATTTTGGGAAACCCGGCCTGTGCGTCCCACGGTCCGGGAGACAAATGACACGTACCCCAGTTTTAAAACAAGGGCAGGGTCTCAGCGGACGTGCTCAGGTTTCCATTT